AAATAAATAAACAAAATAACAAAAATAAATAAATAAACAACGGAAATAGGGAAAGCAAAAACAAATAGTAAGCAGTTTTTAAATAGACTAATGACTTGAATAAATAGAAATATTAAAAAGGATAATCAAACGACAATAATAATAAAGTGATAGAATTAAAGAACCAAGCACTTAAGGAATGGGAAAAATAAAGAGAATAGTGAAAGTAAAAACAAGTATAAAGCAATTTTTAAATGGACAAATGAATTAAATAAAATGCAAGATTAAAAATAAAAGAGAAGACAGTAATGAAGGGATACGCAAAAAAAATAAATTTAAAAATCAAGCAATTAAAGAAAGAAAAAGAATAGAAAATTAAATTGCAAGTTAAACAATTCCCCGGCAACGGCGCCAAAAATTGATGGACAATTTTATATATGTCCTCGCAAGTGCACGAGTCAGTGTAATGATAGTGTGCAAAGGCAAGGGTCGAACCCACGGGGAATTGTACGATGCAATTTAATTACTTGAAAATGATTAAATTAACAATTTAATAATATCAATAATTAAGATTAGGATAAACTTAAATGCAAAGTAATTGAATCGAGATGTAACTTGACAATTTAAAGTGTCCAAAGCTAATTAGAAATCAAAAAGCCAAAGAATAAAGATCAATCAAACTCAGGAAAATACACAATAAAATTTAAGCAGGAAAAGTAGAATAACAAATAGATTAAACTAAACCGCAATCAATATGGATTAAACCAAATAAAAACGCGGGCGAAAATAAAGGCAGGAAAATAATTGAATTAACTTTGAAACGAAATAGTGAGTGAATAAAGACTATGAATCAGATTTGACAATCAAAATAGAAGAGCCTAAGAAATTTAGCGAAGCATAAATAAATTAACAGCATTTGTTTCATGCAATACCAACAATAGATACCTAAAGGAAAGAAATTAACAACAATAAAGATGAATTAGCAATGCATGTAAAATGTAAATAGCAGTAATTAACTCATAAAGCACCATACTTTAATAATTACCACAAATAAACTATAAATTAATAACAATAATTATGCCTAAAGAAAAGGAATTGTGGTTGCTGCTGCCGAACAAATTGTTTCAGCCACCGCCGAGAAGCTGCGCCCAACAAGGAGAAAGCCAGAATTGAAATTGCCGTCTGAAGGAATTGAAGCTGCCACCGATTGAAATTCTAAAACGCCGCCACCGGAATTGGTCCGGGGCAAAACCTGATGATGAAGGAATTTAATTGATCTTTATATATAGCGCTTGACTCCAACCGCTTCTCCGCTTCCGCTCTTCAACTCTGTGCATCGATTTCTTAGAGGGACGAGAATCGAGGATTGCCATTGAAGCCTCAACTATTCAATCGGATCTTCGTTAGCCGATGCCGGAAGAACCTCCGCCTCTCTCTCGTCGTTCGCGTTAGATTGCGGAAGAGAAAATGTTTTATTGAAGTCTTAGGCTTAACAAAGTGTACAGATCTAATAATAATAATAATAATAATTTTAATAATAATAATAATAATAATAATAATAATAATAATAATAATAAATTTATTTGAGACCATATATAACTAATTTATATTTATTAAACTCCTGCTGATCATGTACTACTAAAATTAATATTATTATTTTAAATTAGGATCAAAGAATTATTGAACTGACAGAAATCAAATAATAGACAAATTTAATAATTAAAACAACCTAAAATTGAATAACTACCAAAGCTACTAATAATAACAATAATAAATAAAAATAAATATAAAATTAATTAATTATTGCAAATTAACTATATAAAGATTATTAAAAATAACACTAAAAATAATGTTTATCACGCACCATCCAAGGCAGAAATCTCATGGCCGTTGAAGAAGAAATGGTTCCGGCTAGACTATGAGTTCACTGTTGATATCTTCAATAAACTTGTCGATCACAAGACCTCGGGCACGGATGATGTGACGAAGGAGAAATTGAAAATGCTGCATGCCTTCTGGAATAGATTTAAAGTCGATTGGTCAAAGATCATTTTCAACAATATCGTTCACACCATCACTTTTCATCGAAAAAGTCCAGGAGACATTGCGAAGAAGTTGGGATATGATTTTGTGATAAGCCATCTTCTGGCAACGAAAGGAGTCGTTCTGCGCCCAGGAATTCGGCCTGGTCAGAAAGCATGTCATATGAAACAAAAACCATCAGGATATGACAAGCAGAAGGCGTTGGAGTTGGGAATCCCTATCGAGCAAGTCAAAGCTAAGCGGAAATCAAGAACACCTAGGGTTTCAGAAGATGAGCAGCCAAGCCGAAACGACAAAGACGAGAAAAGCACTCCTCTCGGAGTAAGGCGAAAAAGGCAGAAGAATCTTCAGGTGTTCCAATCTCACCAAAATCTCCACAAAAGAAGAACGATCCTATTCCACCCTCCCCTCTACCAGAATCAATCGTAGTCAAAGACTCATCCGAAGATGAAGATAATTTAATTCTCTCCAGAATTATCAAAGACAGTCACTTTCGGTCTCCAGTCAAGGCTAAATCTTTCCCGAAGAAATCTTCTACACCGAAAGAAGGAGACACGAAAGAAGCACTTTCTGAGGGGGAAGGTCAACCGAAAGATGTTCTTCCTGAGAAAATTCCTGATGATCAAGAACCCAAGTCTGATCTCGGTTTTCCTCAAGACCACCATCCACAAGAACCTACTTTGGCAGATCAACTCCTTCGAGAGCTGACACAAGAACCTGCTAATGTAGACATGGAGGCCAGTCGCTTAAGTCTTCCACAAGAACCTGGGTCACCAGAAAAGACGAAAGAGGCGACTGATGCTTTGATTGCTTTACCTTGTCTGCCACAAGAACCTATCAATACAGAGCAGGTAACTCTGACACAAGAACCTGTGTTGGTAGACGAGACAGCAGTAGTGCAGGTACAACCTCCGGACATCCTGAAACCATCAGCCCCAGCTCCAGAAGTAAAGGTTCCTCAACCTTCACCAGATCAGTTACTTAGAGAATCCATTGAACGAGATTACAAACGAGTTCAACAGTGGCAAAAGTGGCGCACTGCTCCCCTGCGGATCTTTCTTGAAACTTTTGAAGCAATGCAAGATGAAGAGGAATTTGCACTTGCATGGATTGGCACTGATGATCTTTCAAAAGCTCTTCGAATTGAAGAGATCAATCGCGTTTTCTCTTACAAGATGACAAATCGCACTCTCGGGAGAGATAAAGCTCCAATCTGCATCGAGCTCAACAAGCCACCCTTGGATCCAGTTTATGAAGAAGAACTGAAGCAACTTCGATATGCCATGTTGCTTTCAAAGATCAAGACCACTTTAGAGAAGGAACACCAAAATGATCCAAATTGTAATATCAGTGGCATGAAAGATGAGCTTGGACGACAGATTGAAGAAGGCGAGAGTGATGAAGGTGAAGATGAAGATAATGATGATGTTGACGATGATGATGATGAGAATGATGATAATGATGATGATGATGATGAGAATGATGATAATGATGATGATGATGATAATGATGATCAGATGGGCAATGAAGGTGCTCAAGAAACCGAACCCGAAGACAGTCACACAATTTTGATCGGTCCTGACTATGACACCTACCCTCAGAGATCTCCCTTAAGAAGACTACCATCTGACAGTGATGACTCGGAAGAAGTTTCAACTGCCCATCTCGAAGATCTGTCTCGAGCCATTGTTCCGCATATTCAACCCATAAACGAAACTCCAATCAAGCAAGGAAACGAAAGTCTGCGTGAAGGCAAACTGGAAGCTTCACCAATCCCTCTTAGCTCAGATAGTGGTGGAAACCGGGAAGCACCACCTCAAGATGATCACATGGACACATCACCAACAAACATTGAGGAAGAATCCCCTGCGAAGTCCCCACGAACTATCATGAACATCATGAGAGGAACTGTTCATTCAGCCGAGACCATCCACAGGCAATATCTTGCTTTACGAGAAAAGGACACGAAAGTTATGGATGATCTATGCAAGAAGGTCGATTTTCTGATAGCAGCCCAATCTAAACCTCGATCTCCACCTCCAGCACAGCCTCAACCGCAGCAACAAAGCTAATCAGATCACAAGGTCCTTGAGCGAATGACAAAGAAACTTTATGATCTCGAAGCTTCTCTGAACAAAGTTGCGCGACAACAGCACGAAATCAAACACTCTCATTTTGGTCTCAAAGAGTGTATAGATTTGGCCTGTACAAAGATTGACACATATCAGGACAATTCGTACCAACTGGGCGAATATGCACTTCAAATTCTCGGATATGCTCAGGATATCTTGCTTGCAATCAACAAGGTCTCTTCCATTCCTCCTACCACCTGTGCTGATGATGCCAAAAAGGGGGAAAAGAGAAATGATGACAAAGATAAGGATGATGATCATCCGAGAGATAGCACGAAAGATCAAGCTCGTGAAGCACGACACTCTCCCTCTCGGACACCAAGAGACTATGACCAAAGGAACCCGAATCCATCTTCCAAGTCTCGTGGTCATCACTCCTCGAAGTCAAGATATGGTCGATACCAATCCTCCAAACAAATCAAGCCTCGACAATCATTTGGTTCTGAAGCCAAATACATCTTCACAGGACTGCCAAAGAGAAAACAGATGAAATTAAGTCAAAAGCTTATGAGAGACAACAAAGTAACTATGGATGGCATAGGAAACTTTGTGGACTTTGTCCCATATGAAGAAGGCAGTGGCAAACGATTCGAGGGTTGCAATAATCCCACTTGGTTGAAAACAAAAGACAATCATACAAGACAAAACCACATGAGCACTCAAAATGAAAGAATCAAAAAGGCAAACAAAGAACTGTGGAGGAAGCATGATGAAGAAAGAAAGAGAAGAGAAGATGAAGCAATAGAAAGAAAAAGGATCAGGAATCTCATTGAAGATCTTTCGAGTGTAACCAAAGACTCCCCACAAAATGTCATGCATAATGCAGCCTTCAAAGTGCACAAGGAATCAGGAAAGAGCTACCAAGAAGGCATGAATTCGTTTGAACTGATCTCGTGGTGGAAGTATGGTATTGTTGAAGGAAGCAACATTCGGGAAGCCTACAATAATTACACTGGTCTGAACATCATAGGAGAACATGAAGAGCTTGTCAGGACTAATCCTATCAAAGTCATCAGAGCAAAAATCAATGAGAAAATTGACTTCAACAGGATGCTAAAGTGACAAAAAGAAAAGGATGACCAAGAGCTCAAGGAAGCTGAACAACAGAAATCAAAGCTTTTAGAAATGTAAGTTAACTTTTGTTATATTCCTTTTATGAAGTTTTTGTAATGATCACATCTTTATATATGAAACTCTCATTGTTACACATCTCGTGTCACCTGTTTGAGTTACTTGTTCTTATATCGCTTATTAAATGCTTTTAACTAGAAAAAGACTTGTAAACTCTCGAGTATGGCTGTTTTTATATAAGAAAAATCCTTATGGGACTTTTATCAGCCTTATAAGAAGAGTATAGGTTTTGGCATCATCAAAAAGGGGGAAATTGTTAGGAACATTGTATTAGGATTTTGATGATACCAATGTAATGTAGAAAAGTAGACCCCTAACCATTAGCTGTTTTTGTTTCGCTACTTTCGTCCTAGACGAGAGTTGCCATAACTCTTTTGTAATTCGTGCTAAGCTAGACAAACACACGAAAATGAGTTATGACTAGATGTTAGGATCTCCAAGGCGAAAGAAGACACGAGACATGAAGAACAACAACGAGAGTCAAGCAGGAGTTGTCAACAAACACGAAAGAACAGTGTTTGTAAAAGACGATCTTTATTAAACATTACTTCTCTTCAACAACGAGAAGAATGTTTCACCTGTCTGATTTGACAACATCCTAGGACAATAAGGACTTCATTTTATGGGACTCACTTTTCAAGAAGCATTAAATGAAGATGTACTATCTCTTGGAGCTAAAGGACAAAACCCTAATGCTTTCCATACCTTCAACGGCTACATGGTACAACCTCATTAATGGAGCATTTAATGCATGAAGCTCCCCGGTCCTTGTCCAATGGTTAAAAGGTTCGAAAATTTCATCTCCCTCCAACGAATGGATTTTCATCACCTATATAAACTCACCTTCATCAACTAAGAAGGTGCTGGTTCATTATCACTCGACTTACTCACTTACAAAAGCTCTTGAAACGTCTACGATTTACAAAAAGCTTTTGTGAACCAGTTTTTGAGGTGTTAAGTTACTTGGAGAATCACTTGTCTTACACCTCAAGGAAGTCTTGACATCAGTTTGAAGCTATCATATCTCAGAGTCAAGATCTCTTCGTTGGAGAATTCAAGAAATCATTTTCTACCAACCTCAACTCAGGAGAAGAAGTTGATAGAGGCGGAGTAAACTCGAGGAGTTGAAAAACCTACGAAGGCTGTCCGGCTTAGTGATCAAGGAAGTCTTTGTGTAATTGTACTAAGAGTGATAGTGCAATCCTTCCAACAGTTGTGGAAGAAGAGTGGAGTAGGCAATATTGGTCGAACCACTATAAAATCTTGTGTCCTCCTTATCTCCTTACTTACGCTTTTTATTTTGCTCTCATATCATTTCTTCATTATCATTACCGAAAGTTTGTCTAATTACGCAAACTCGTGTAAAGTATTTTAAAACAAATCTATCTTATCCGCTGCGCCAAGACACCGGAAGGTGACGTTTAGGGCTTCTAACGAAAAGAGTCTATTCACCCCCCCCCCCCCCCCCCCCTCTAGACTCTCATCTCATTCTATCGGGACCAACAAATAGTTCACGGTTCTCAGGGGTTGGCAACTCGTCAAACTCTCTTTTTGCGTCTGAAACTGACTGTTCCAAATTCATTACCCGATCCAAAACATTGCCAAAAACATCCCGGTTCCATACTCGCAAAGCTTTCTTAATTCGTTTTAGCTTAAAAGCAAGGGCGCGCATACCTCCTCCAACAACCAGAATTTCCAAGTTAGATTTCATAAAATTTAGAAAGCTAGCATGGGAAAGCCACATATTTTGAACGCGAAACTGTTTAGGCCTAGAAAAATCTGTCTTATCTCCGCAAAGCAAGATTGGTGCGTGATCTGAGGTAGTCCGATTCAGAAGCATAATACGAACATCAGTAAAATAATCTCTAAAGGAAGAAGTAAGAAGGAACCTGTCAAGCCGCTTCCAGACTTTTCCCATGTTTCGGACTCCAGACCAAGTATAATATCCTCCAGTTGTGGCTAAATCAAGCAAAGACTGATCTGCAATGAATGTTGAAAAATCTGAAATGCTATTTAACTTAGGGGTTTCATTTCCCCTGTATTCTGCAATGCTTGAGATAACATTAAAATCACCACCCAAAAGCAATGGAGCTGTGTTATCCTCAATTAAAGCACCTAGCTGAGACCAAAGGGTTTCATATTGTAAGGGTATTAAAAGGCTTGTAAGGGGATTGTTTTTGGGAGACTTCCTTTTTCCATTTCTTTACCTTTCATTTCAGCTCTCTTAGGTTAGATTAGATTAGGGTTTATCTTTTCCTTACATTTTCTTGGGAGATTCATTGAAGGAAGAGATTGAGAACCTCCAATTCAAGAGATCTTGCATGACTTTTTCTTATTTTCTAATCTACTTGTTTGGTATAATCTCTACTCTTTTACTTCTATTTTCTTTAATTAGATTTTGATTCATGAATGCTTTTATGTTTCTTATGGTTAATGTAGGCTAGATTAGCTAGGGTTTGAATTGTGAATGTGTGAGATTATGATGTCAATGTGACTTAGTTTTGGAATTAGGGATTGATTGATTGCTTTGCTTCTATGTCTTCTTGTTATGGATTGTTTTGTATGCATCCAAGGAGTTAGGACAACTCCTAGGATTGTGTTGAGTGAATGACCTTTGCTAGGTCAATTCAAGCTCCCAGCCTTGACATTTCCTAGCTCAAGGAATCCTACGGGACTTGGTTGGGAAGGTAATGTAGGCAAAGTGTTCGAGGAAAGGTCTAGGCAAGTCCTAGACAAGTCCCAGCCTTGACAAGTCCTATGTTATGAAAGGACATAAGTCATTCCCTAGACTTAGCATACGCATCATCTTTACCTATGTTAAATGATTTAAGTGCATCATAATCCACACTAAGCAATTCAACCCTATCTACTTTACATTCTTGCTTGTTTTTCCTTTGTTTTCTTTATTACTTTGATTTCTTATGCTAGCATACTTGTTCCCTTACATTCTTATTTTGCACCTAGTTTCCACTCTTGTTGATACATTGTGACACTAGATTGTTTGCACTTCACTTGCTCCGAATGGCCATCCTTGAGTTCGACACTCGGGGGTTTCACAAACTTCGTTTACACTCTTTCACACATCACAATTCCATCCCACTCAAAAATACACGTTATCAACAATCAAACAAAACATTAACATCAAAAGAACTTGACCAAAGAATCCAAATTTCGCCAACAGAAGATGCAAAACCTTTATGGAAATTAAACGTTCTGATGAAGGACTCAATTCTATCCTCAGCCAAAAATGGCTCAAAAATGGTTGTAAGCTGAATACCCTCACGTCTGATCAACAGTTTGAGCTAGCGGCATGAGGAAAGCAGGCCCTGGAAATTCCAGAATAGCAAATTCATTTAAGATGGTGAGAAAGACATTCTTGCGATTTTCCCCGCTGCTAGGCGGGTGGTAATTGATGGGGCATTATTTGAGTAATCCTTTCTTGGTTTGCGCTTTTTATGTGAGACTGTCACGAATTCATCTAGAGTCGGTTTAGATATTCTAGACGCAAAAATCTTACTCGCTTGCTTCCATGATTTCAGCAAAGTTTTAGAGAAAGCCTGGGCATTGTGCACTTCATCACCATCAGACAAATGACCCGGCTGTGTCTCTGTGCTACCTTTCGATCTCACAAAATGATCATCAATGAGTACCGGACCAAGAGTAGGGCCTTGGTCCGGTATAACCAACTGCTCTTGACCCGTAGTACTCCCTGTTTCTAGTTCCGGCTGCTGCCAATTTTGAGACTCCTCTTGAGACTGGACTGCGAGAGGTCGCCAACGTTTCCGCGGTGGAACAATGGTGGTGATTGCTTGCAATGGAGAGTTTTGATTAACATGTGACTTCGGCTGGCTAAGAATGGCAAAATCACCATCCTGGTGCTGCTTTTGAACCAATGGAAGAGACTGGCCAACTCTGCATTCTGCTACTAAATGACCAAATTTTTGACAAGTTTGACAATAAGGAGGAATATACTCATATTTCACAGGCTGAGCAAATCCCCCATACGAACCATTGTTTATTGTAATTTTGCATATTCTCTTAATCAGGAATTATTGATTTAGTTTCTTGCAAACTAAATAGGTGACTGACAAACTCAGATTCTCAATCAAGTAGTCATTCAGATAGATAGGCAGATATTACGAAATGCGGAAGACTAAGGCAGAAAGTGAATCAAGACATATGTTTGTTTACCCAGTTCGATACAGTGTGTATCTACATCTGGGGAACGATCACCAATGCGTCCAATCCACTAACTCAGAATCCAATGTACAAAGGTAGAGAAGAACAATCTCACCCAAGTGCCCCACACAAGGTCAGTATCCATTCTACAAAGGTTTAGTGGATTGTTGAAGTCGGAGAGCCACGCATTCAGAAGTCAAATGAAATCCCTTCAATTGGAGAGCTAACTCTGATGCAGTTCGCTTCAATGACACAGTCCCACGTTGTTCCCATAACTGAGTGATCTTCGCGTCCAATCGGTTAAGCAAAGTTGATACTTCTCAAGTTCTTATTCGTAATCACCATGAACTTATTGTTTTGAGAAGAGGCTTGACAACCAGAGATGTATATTCTGCTTAGTATAGAGTTTTGCGGCTTCAATCAATGCAACCTAACTTCTGAACGAATAAGTATATTTATACTTCTTGATTTGGACACTCTCTAAATATATCTATGGTTGTAGAAGGTAGGACTTTTTGTTAAGAAAGAAATCTTGAGATTCGGTCCATACCTCACAAGATGATTCGCTGATAATCTTTCCAAAACCATCATCTCATTACCGCGTGCCAGCTTTTAGAAACTTTTCTTTATCAGTCCTTCGGTGGCTCGATCTAGAGGTGCGTCTGTTGACTTTACTGCTCAATCAGTCTTCTTCAAAGACGGACAGACACCAAGCTAAACCCTATCTTAATTTGCCATAATAATATATTCAATTATATGTTGGGGTTTTTCTTAAAGAAATAAAACACTAACATTTATCCAAATGTGCTCAGGAATGGGATTAAGGACATTCAACTCTATGCAAACTCTGGCAACCGAGAGCCGGTTGTGGGCAAGTGTCGAGGCATCAACCTTTAGTGGTGATCCAACGAGGTTCATGATTGAGTAGATTGTGCGTTTATCTTTTAGGTGTGCCGATAGCCCCAATAAAGCAATCCAAACTGGAACTATTGGAGACTCCACATCCGGTTGGAAGTCCGGGGTCCATTTAAAAACCTTCATATTGAATCCTTGTATCGCCCACGATTTACGTAGCCAACAACGTTGAAAATATTCTTCTCTGTCATAATTAATCAGAACATGGCATTGGTAAATCAGGCCCAGAGTAAACGGTCCACCGAATCCAATAAGATCAAACAACTTTCAGAATGACGCCATCGAAGGGCACCCTTTCGTAAACTTGCCAATCAACGCAAACTTGAAGCGAAGAGCAAATTGGTGAATATCTTCATTTGAGAACGAGACCGCTGGCATGCCCTTGTATCTACCCGGAGGTCGGACAAGCGCTTCATCTGAGCCAGGAGAGAGTACACGTGACCGCTAGCATGCCCTTGTATCTACCCGGAGGTCGGACAAGCGCTTCATCTGAGCCAGGAGAGAGTACACGTGAAAGAGCGCGGTGGTGTGGGAGGGGGCACGGCGGCCCCCGACGCCGCCGCCATTGCAGAGAAGTCATCAGTGAGCAAGAATATCGGAGATAATTAACTAACAGAGAGCTTTTTAGTATTTAGGCTTTATAAAAGATACATTTTCGCCATTTACTTTAGTATTTAAGCTTTCTAAAAGCTTTTGATCTACTAAAGCACAAAGAGTCAAAGTCCCCACATTAAGATTCAAACCTGAGATCTCTCATTTAAAGGGCAACAGCTATGCCGCTCGACCACAAGGCCTTTAACAATTATTGACTAACTTTAATATATGAGAAATGGTTAAAAAAATTTATTGTTTAAATACTATAAATATATTGATTTAAATACAAATCTAAAACAATTAGAACTATAACTTTATGTCAAATTTGTAAATTTTTCATCTTGCATATAAGGGTGTGTTTGGTTCATGTGTTTACACTCTAAGAATGAGAATGAAAATCATAGTTATTGTTTGGTTAACAACTTTTTTAAGACTCAATTATGATATTTGAATACCCCTTCGATTAAGAATCTCATCTCCTAATCATGTATTTTATTCTCATTTTGATTTCGATTCTCATGTGCGAACCAAACACACCCTAAATTTGTTAGCTATTGTACATTGTATTTTATTATTCAAAGCTCATTTGGCACTTGAACAATGTGTTGCGCCCCATGCACAATGAGTGTTCATTGCTAATACCTATATAAAGTCTACTATAAAATGTATTGATATCATTCAAGAAATACAAAGATTATTCTTTCTTATACACCTTCAAGTAGTGACGGCAGGTTTTTCTCGTCACCCAAAAACAAAAATTATTCTTTCTTATAGTAAGGTACTAGACATCGCTTGAATAAATGTGGAATCAATATATCTACAGTTCCAACCATATTAATATACCATTGTTTATATGAATTGAATTTAGTAGTTTTTTGATGTCCATACACGTTTGCGATATTCTGCCAGTGCCAACAATGGAAAATAACTCCTATATAGTGCATAGTGCAACATGCAATTCTTCATGAAGACTCCAGTAATTTCCTGTTTTCCTACTTATGATTAGTAAAATTTTTGGCAAGTAAAGAAATAAATACATAAATTGAAAATGCTATCGAATCATGAAGTTCAAATTTAATTAGTTGATCTTACTTCTTGAGGAAAATCTCCATTATCCATTTGTGCATTAATCAATAACTTTGCAGCTTTGTGTAAAGGAGTTGGATCCCTCTCGGCCTAGTTAACAAGGAAACACAGAAAAAACACTTTAACTGCATTTTGAGCATACATCAAACAGTTAGCAGTGTTTGGTATCCATTAAACTGTACTAACCTGCCCAGTGTACATAAGTCCTAGCATTGCCCATGATGTTTGAACCAAATTTGTACGATCCCCTTCCAATGGTATGTATTTCTGCTCCACAAAATTATCTACCATTGAGAAAGAATTTGACAAATGTAAAGCAATGTTGCAGAAGGTGCTGGGCGCTTGTCAGGCACCCGGCGCCTCCTACGCTTTCAAGTAATTCAATTATATCATCTCTACTTTTCTCATTCAGGACTGTGAGTTGTTAGACTATTATAATCTCACAAACTAGTCAACTACATATGTTAGATGGTTACTTGAGTACATGGCTAGAGGAATAAAGAAGAGGAGCAACCGAGCAGGCAAAAAATACCACTCAGCTGAGTTGGGCGCCAACTAGGCAGAGTTAGGCGTCCAACTCGGCGCCTAGGATGCCTAGTCGGCTGGTTAGTCGGTCAGCCAACTAAAAACCGCCTAAGACTGATATCGCTAAGGCCTAGGGGCGCCTAGCGCCTAGGCCGATTTTTACAACACTGGTGTAAAGTGTTATATCTACTATACATTGGCCATATTGAATAACTGATCTACCATGGTTGGGCAAGATTCAAGACATTCTCCCCAGCCACCCTCTTGATTCTGTTTTGCTAGGTAGAAGTGAGCAGCTTTGCGAATGGCTTCGCAATTCTCGTAATTCTTTCCTGCAGCTGCCAGCCCTAATAGGGCAAAGCGAGTGGCATAGAGGAAGCAAATTCCCCAGTATCCATACCATGACCCATCTGGTTACTGCTGTTTTTCAATGTATTGTACTGCCTTTGTAATAGAGATATCAACTTCTTTTGCTCTATAATTTGGATAATGATTTCTGAAGGCGGCAAGAGCACTGATTATAGATCCAGTAGGTTCTACGTGCCTAACCACAAAAAATTCATTTACATATTACAATCATTAATATGAAGATTAAGCATTTTACTTATTTATTGTTTTTTTGTATTATTGTTGTTATTTCAGGTAAGAAGAATTGGGATCTTCCTCTTTCTCCACGACAATATCTGCAAAGAGTTCAGAGGGATTCAATAGTTGCATGTATGCTTGTGGAATAGGAGGCTCCCATGCACCAAAACCACCACTTTCGGGACTCTTAATGTAAACAACATGAAATTTATGTTGATTAGTATTCAACTACAGAATTATATGTAGATAACAAAAGAATGTGGGAAAGTCTTACTTGAAGATAAAGGCAAACATCTACAGCTTTATACAAGTGCTGAACATCGGCCTTTTCTCCTACAATTTCGGGTGGCATTTCCCCAAGGACTAGCAGGCACTGCAACAACGTTCACACACGTATTATTTTTTTTTAGGACAAATGTCTTAACAGAGTAATTTGCATGGTATCTGGCCAGCACTTTGCCCCTTAATAGGGCCGGCTGAGTGCGAATGGGAATTAGTGAGTATGGTGCGGGTTTAAAGGTGCCTCCTACAATTAGGGTCCGTTCAGGATACCTCATGACTTTGACCAAAAAATATGAAACTAGATTACCTTAAGCGCTTCTGCTGTGACGTCAGAGGTAGCCCAACCATGATCTTGATCAGAGAATGTCCATGATCCTTTTGTGAAATGACGATACATATTTTTGAAGTCTCCTTTTGGATTTCCTTTTACCTGCATACATATTATTGTTATCGCATTGCATCATATTGTATAGCTAAAAATGCAGGCTAGATTTTGACATACTTGTGATTCTTTAATATAGAAATGGGCGTTTTTCAGGCAGTCTCCATATTCTTCTACCATGCCACTGGCAATTATAGCTTGGGTGGCATGAGCTGCATCCCAATTCTGACTCCCAAAAGTTTGCATTGTCATTCCATCTTCTGCAAGCCATAAGTAATCAAGAACTCTAGCAAGATGGTATTTGAACTCATCGCAGTTTGGATCTTCTGCCCACCAGCACATCATTTGCAAACTCTATACCCAATAATAATTTGATTTAATTTATAATTTGATTTATTTTGTTTTAATGTAGTACTAGATTTTGGCCAAAACTTATTTCTGCTATTTCTTTTTCGCTTTATTGAGTGTTTTTTCTTTTTATTTAATGAACTCTCTCCCATCTCTCCAGAGACCATATTTTTGGATATGATATCTACCTTTAACCTTGGCAGTCAAGAGTACGTGATCATGGGAGGATGTTACCTTTTTTGTTTTTTACTTTCGTTTTGTCGATTGGGCATTTGGGCTAGGGAGGGGAGACCCGATGGGTAGTTAGGTATGAAAATAATTGGAATCAAAGGGCATTGTTTTTATGTCTAAATTAGGTCGAGAAATAAATTTGGGGGTTAAAGTGTGATAAAACAAAGTATATGAGACAAGAGCGCAAAGACTGAAAGGATTAGGTGTAAAGTGGAGAAGGGGAGAAAGTTTGAGGCCAATATGTGGTAAGGGATAAAGTATAGGGAACTATAGTGCAAAGCTTGGGAAAGGGGCTATGGGTGCATTTGAAAACGTGGTATGGAGCAATATTCGAGAAAATGAGCGATGGAGAGGAGTGGTCTGCCTGGTCATAGAGGTGTTGATTTATTTCCCCATTGTCGGATCTTGGCACACTGGCGAGGGGTAGACCTCGTGGGGCTCGAGCATATTGAAGCGGACCATTGGTGGTTGGTTGGTGGACTGCTCCTAGGTTTGCAATCGTGGGGTCTTTCTATCTTTTGTTTGGCTACTCTGGTCATCTGCCGACGCTTGGAGGGCTTCAAACTCTTCTGTTTGGTCGGAGCAAATTGCTCAGCGAATGGTGCAGATGGTTTAGGTGGATGGTCAGGTGGAGTCATATGGTGAGGTGGTGGGGTGGGGGTTCGTGCGGGGTCTTCGAGTTGTTATTGATGGGGAATCTAAATGTTCTTTGCGGTGCGACACATATGGAAGTGTTTGCCCATTACATGCGGCCTTGGAAGTAGTATAAAAGGCGGAGGTATCCTATTCAGACTTCAGACTATCATCAACATTCTTCTCTCTTGAGTTCTCTTGTAGTCAACAACGCATTACATCAATTGACTCTACGGTTTGCTAGTTAGTAGTAGTAGTTCATCCCTTGTGGTTGGGCTTGGTAGTTGGGTCCTTGGACTAGATTTATTTTCTTTGTGTTTATTCAGTATACTTGTAGCCTCTTTATATTATTTTAAGGGTGTTAGACCTATCAATACAATATACTTTTCGTACTTTTTTTCTGTTAGTAATTTAGTTTTATGGTTAGTCCGGTTCAGTAAAACCAAAACCATCAAAATATATATATATATATATGGTTGCATTCAAATATAAACTCCCTTAAAATATAAATTTGAGCTCGTGCACACATTAACATGCTTACATGCACACAGCGTGCACTGCCAACAATTTCTGGGATTAGCTCGTGCACACATTAACATACTTACATGCACACAATTTGTATTTTAAAGGGGTTTGTATTTTAAGGGTGGTTTGTATTTGAAAATTATCATATATATATATATATATATATATATATATATATATATATATATATATATATATATATATATATATATATATATATATATATATATATATATATATATATATATATATATATATATATATATATATATATATGCGTGTGTGTGTGTGTGTGTGTGTGTGTGTGGATCAGTTAACGTGCGAAGAGTCTCCCATTTAAAAGATGGAGTGAGATCTGAGTCGTTGATCTTTAGATCAACGGCTCAAATCAAGAAAAATTATAAAAAAAAAAAAAAGAACGCGCTTCCTGCCAACATGCATGTAAATGATCAGCTGTCTTAAACTGATGTCGCACCTTAAGATATAAATCTACGCACCTTAAGTTATATAACTATGCACTTTAAACTATAAAATAATGCACCATAAGTTTAAACTAATGCAACTTAAAATAGAAAAGTGACGCACCTTAAGCTTTAAACATACGCAACTTAAGCTATATAAAATTACACACCTTAAACTATAAAACAACACACCTTAAACTAGAAAAGGGACGCATCCTAAGCTATAAAACTACGCACCCTAAGCTATAAAACTACGCACTCTAAGCTATAAAACTACGCATCTTAACCTTAAAACTCAAGCACCTTAAGTTTTAAACTGATGCACCGTAAACTTGAAAGTGACGCACCTTAAACATTAAATTTAAACATACGCACCTTAAGCTATATAACTATGCACCTTAAGTTATAAAACTATGCACCTTAAGTTTTGAACTTATGCAAAATTATCATAATGCCACCACGTTTTTTTTTTTTTAAGTTTTCGTCAATCTGAGCTGTTGATTTTGACTAGAACAAGCTAGGACAGAGATAAAACCCCATCTTTCCCTGTAACCTATTACCGCACCTGATCTCTCTCTTTATAAAATTTTCTTTAATCTGGGCTGTTGATTTTGGCTAAATTAAGGATTGAGATTAAACTCTATCTTTCACCTGCAACCTATCACCGCACATAATCTCTCTCTATATAAATAAATAAATAAATAAATAAATAAATAATAAGTTAGAGAATAAAAGTGGTGGAGGTTATGTATTGGTATGTCATTTGGAATGTAACTCTTAATTTTGATTACATACATAATAAAATAACCCTCTTCATTAAATTAAATATCACTACTAATTAAACTGATAAATATTAAATTAATTACTAAATTCTTAATATATTTGGTAAATAGTTTATTATATTATTAACCAAAATACATGTGGCACATAGACTCATATTTTTTTTTAACTATGTTATATATAAATAGTTTAATAATTGATGATACTAATAATATATATATATATATATATATATATATATATATATATATATATATATATATATATATATTATTTTTTTTTATCAAAACGGAGGGGACACCAGAGAAAACAAAAAATCAAACATCTCCTCCACCCCTAGTTACTATTTGATAATCAAGTATTTTATTGATTAATAGATATGTTGCACTCACAAAAACTTCTTTCTATAATATACATTAAATAATTTAATATTTAATGTTTAATAGTTAATATCAATAGATAATAATACTCCTTAATGTTTAATCATTTGGTTAGCGTGAGTGGCCTCGCGCACTCTCACTCAAGAGAGGCCGAGAGCTTGAATCCCCTTTCGTATAGAAAAATAAATCTGGCCCTCACTTTGCTCCTTAATTTGGTCGACTCGATGTGAATGAAGATTAGTCTAAATACGAATTTAAAAGTGCCTCTTATAGTTAGAGCTTATCCAAACCAATTAACTAAAAAGATTAATAGATTGTGACACGTATGCTTTTACAAACTTTCTTTTATTATAGCAAGGAAATATTCTAACCTTTATTATGCAGCCAATGTTTATGTATCTGCTCTCTTCTGCTTCATAGCGCATATACTTGATTGCTTTTCTCATAGCCATTTCCCTAATTTTCTTGAAAGGCCAACACCTCATGAATGGCTCAGTACAATATTGAAGGGTGTTCCATAGGAGATCTTGTATGAAACTATGGGGGTAGTACATGTCCTCCTGCATTTTTGCAAGTTAATTTTTTGTTTTAGAATTAATTTTATTTTTGGTCCTAAATTTATAGGTAATAGTTCACTTTTAGTTATTTTTTTTAGAACACCCCTCTTTGGTACGGTCCTAGTATTATTATATATAGCATGGCCATTTATTTTTATCTTCTATCAACAAAAATCATTGAAATGCGGTTAAATACAATGACATTTTGATTTTTTTTTTAGATACAAAGTGGGTTGACCCGTTATTTATTTATTTTTATTTATTTTTTTAAAAAATCATAACTGAATACCTAAGTGCTCTTGTATTTTATATAATTGAAATGATTTTATTGATGGAGGATCGAAAATGGTCATTCCACAACAATATTAGGACCAAAAGGGATGTTATAGAAAAAGAGACTAAAAGTGGATGATTGTCACCTATAAATTTAGGACAAAAAATAAAATTAATTCGAAAAAGGGATTTGAAATTTCTGTGTAAATTAAGCCAACCTTACAACAATCCATGCGAGTACTGTTCCAATCAATCCGATCATAAGCTTTGACATGAATTTCATTTCTTATACAGAGAACAAGATCTTTTAACGGTCCATGATATCTCTTTGCATACAAGTACGACATAGACATGTATGTTGTCCGACAGTAACACCACATTTTTGCTATATTATAATGAGAATGAATTATTTCTATGCATGTTAATAAGTACTTTATTTAATTTTATTTTAAGCAATTAAGAGCTAAAGCAATTACCAGGATGGAATGGGAAAATGGATGGGAAAAGCCAAAATTCTGGTGGGAGTGGATTACACCCATCCCACTCGTACACTCCAAGCACCTGATCCAAAATTATTTAAATTTGATTTTAACTATAGTAGTATAATATTTTTATCAAATAAAAGTTTACAGAAGGATGTGATTGAGTAAAAATGATTCATTCATCTTTAACTAAAAGTCAAAGATTTGATCTTTTGACTTTGGATATGAAGCAATCTTAAATTGATAATCATAAACTGGGGCAACTCTTTCTTTGATCTGAAGAAAATTTAACGGAATTTACATACCGAGAGAAAAACCTTTCCCCAAGAAGGGATTTTAGTGGCACCGCCATGGTCAAGAATCCACTTGCGACCCCTAGTAATGGCACCATCATCAAGAGGTACTTCTCCAAGCAAACGCAAGGCCACATAGTTAAGTGCTGACCCAATCATGGTACTGTGTCCATCTATGTACAATCCCCATCCACCATCTTCATTCTATCAAACCAAAATAACAACCCACTTTCAATCAAACAATAGCATAATGAAAAATTCACACATATAATATATTCAAATAATTAATGGGCAAAAACTTATATGAGACTGTCTCATGGATCCTTGTCTGTGAGACGAGTTGGGTCAATGTGAAAATGTAATATATATATATATATATATATATATATATATATATATATATATATATATATATATATATCAGAAATAAAGTGTTAGTTACCTATAATACTCTCGAAAAAAAATGTAATAATTTCATATTTTGATTTAAAAGTATTACATTTTTCTAATAACAAACACTTTATTTCTAATTACTATTACATTTTTTAGTATAAGTATTACATTTCTATACTTACATGACACATCTTACAAATAAGAATCAGTTCAGTCTAATTAATATATATAATATAATTTTGATAGGAAAACGTACTCTTTTTTTTTTTTTTTTTGAGAAATAGGAAGACGTACGTACTTGATGATTGTAAATGTATCGGACAATTTCTTTCGTGTGCTCTGAGGTTAAAACTGTATTGATTGCTCCACAAATGTACAACGCAATAAGCTGTAGGGGGGAAATCATTTCAAACAATTATTTTATAAATTTATTAAAACGTACAACTAACCCCTCTCCCTATCGAAATTATTAGAACAAAAATGTATAGATCGAATACCAAGGGAGGAGTGAAAAACATAGGGCCAGCATTCAGAGCTGGCCAGTGTCCGTCTCTAGCTTGAAGTGCACGGTTCAATCGTACGGCTTTTCTAACAGCGGTTGTAACCGCCGAGTAGTTCACTTCTTCGTCTCCTAGCCTTATTGGGGGAGTGTTCAACACGTCAATCCCACTTTCTTTGATCATCTATACATAAAGATGAATTATATAATTGGCTAGCTAATTATAAAAAATTGGAAATTAATACAAATAAACCATTGGTAATGTGTCCAACTACTATTTAGTGTAATAGAAGTTGCAAAACTCGCTAGGCATTTCTCGGGTGCTTTTTAAAAAAAAATAAAAAATTTTCAGATTTGATCATTATAAATTATTTAATACTTTAATAGTTTCTAAAGTATTAATTATTAGCTCAAAAAACGTATAGAATTGTAAATTGTATAAAGATATGATTTAAAGAATCAAAACACAATTTCACAAAGTTACAACTCACAAAGTATCAATATTAGAGTAGCTGACTTAAATTATTTTTTCTTTACATATAATTTATGGTTATTTGCTTGAAGTAACCCATTTAAATAAAAATTAAAAAAAAAAAAAAAAAAAAAAAAAAAAAACAATAGCTAATCGGCTGCCTAGGGCAGCCGGCGCCAATGCATTATTTTTAAAAGAGTGTGATGACATCTTTATTATCATTCTAAATAGCTAGGTAGTCACAGGACCGAACCTGATGATGGAATATTGATTCTTTGAAGTGAAAAAGATTGAGACAGTATATAGAACAATAGTACCTGCATTCTCATTATCAAATCACCGCAGGCATGGGAACCTTTCTCCGGCCGGTTTTCTCTAAATTCTCGGCGGGCATTTTCAAGCGCTTCTCGTTCTTCCGGCGTGCCGGCGTTAGGGTCATACTCCCATATTTGTCTGCCGACGTAGTTGTTGGTACTGTACATGTACGGCCCGCCACCTTCGGCAACCTTAAGCTTCCACATCTTCTACTTCTGCCTATTATTGTGTGGTTTTTAGTATGGAAAACACAAGTGCTTATATAGGCACTTGGGGCCATATACTGATGGACTGGAGTTCTATATATAGCGATACGAGGTGGCCGGTAAGACATTATTGACACAAGTTTACGATCATGTGGTTTTTGTTGTTTAGGGTATAAACATATGTAGTAATCAAAATTTATATATCACTTTGCAGATTTAACAACACTTTCAATGAGGCTCGATCTCATGACTTCCTACATGAAAGAGGTCAATACATGCCATTTGAGCACAATGTAATTGGCAAGGACTATTTCAAGTTAAACAAATAAAGACTATAATAATTTTTTATTTATAACTTATGACACTAATATTAGAATGCATTTTTTTTTTATTTTAAATATATTAATTATTAGTATAAAGTAAAAATTATGTCACATCGACTACCTAACACACATATATAGTTGTTGAAGACTAGAGCAATTTTTTTTTTTTTTGGTGTATACCACAATGTGGTCCGGGTCTTTCTCTGTCCGTTTAATGGTCTAGGTCCACCCGGTTCGCTTCGAGAAGCACAGAAGCTGGCCAAAAGTTAATCGCCACTTGTAGGAATCGTACCCGAATTATCCCGAAATCCCCCACCCCCCACCCCACAAAGAGAATTCATTTGCCACTTGAGCTACGTATCCTATTGGATTACTAGAGCAATTTTTTATTTATAACTTATGAGACTAAAATTGGAATGCATTCGCCTTTTTTTTTTTTTTTTAAAGGGACAAATAGACACTAAATTTTACTCCAAAAATAAATTAGGTCCATAAACTTTCAAAATTTGTAATAAACCAATGAAAGTGTTATTTTGGTGCATTAAAGTCAAAAATTCGATTTGTGACCTGTAATAACAGGTAACTAGGGTTATGGACGGTGACGTTGTCGCCGCTGCCAATAGCGTTGTTGGTTTTGATCACTTTTGCTTCAACCCACTGCCTCCTCTTCTGCCACAGCAACACCTAATCATGTCGAAGTTTCATCAAATTCCTTTGTAGCAGAAGAACTATCACAATTTTGTAGCAACGAAAAATCCTCAACAGTCGATGAGTTTCTCTCAGAATCTCGCGGTTGAGCTTGAGAAACAAATTATTCAAATCGATCACTTTATATGTTTATGGGTATGGCCTAATCTAGATTCTTGATTTTTTTTTTTTTTCATTTTCTGTTATTCTCGGGAGCCATTTTGTGGGCTCATCTCGTCCACATTACTGTATAATCTCCTCTCATATTTTCTCTCTAATCCTTCTTCTTCTTCCGATCATTATTTGTGGACCCATCTTTTATACATTATATACTATTTTATTCACTTCTCTATAATTAATAATTTTAAATTTTAATTTTGAATAAAATATTAAATAACAAAATAAAAAATAAAAATCAAATTTAAACACTATATATACCAACAAATAATAAAATTAAAATTTGTATATATAAATTAAAAAATATATTAACAAATAAAAAAAAATCAAGGCGCCATTGAAAAACGGCTTGATTATGTTTAGTCAAAAAAAAAAAATAATAATAATAACATAGTTAATTCCATTAGAGGTCTCTTGTCTTTGGTGACAATTTCAAATTTAGTCACAGACTATCGTTTTAGTCATTTTACATCCCAGACTATTACTTTTTTGACACTTTTAGTCCTTATGACTTTCTCTATTTTTAGTAAGGGCATTTTTGTATTTTTCATTTTTGTTTTTTGTTATTTTTCTGGTTTCAACAAGTTTAATTGGTTTAGAACTTTAAGTAACATCTGATTTTTAATAACCATATTTTTCAACCGATTTTTAGTAAAATCCTAAACCAATTAAACCGGTTGCAATTGAAAATATAACAAAAGACAAATATGAAGAGACAAAAATGCCCTTACTAAAAATAGAAAAAGTGATAAGAAGGACTAAAATTGTCCAAAAAACGATAGTCTGGGATGTAAAATGGCAAAAATGATAGTCTGGAGCTAAATTTAAAATTACCACCAAAGACAATGAACCTTTGGTGGAATTAACCCCAATAATATATATATATATATATATATATATATATATATATATATATATATATATATATATATATATATATATATATATATATATATATATATAATAGAGATCAAATGTGGGTGTTGTGCCCAAGTGAAACATAAGGTGAGATGAGCGCTATTGATCTTGCCAAAATCAATGTCCAGGATTAACAAGGATTTAAAAAAAAATGCGGTGGCAACTTTGTAATTTTCCGTATTGGTGAAATTTAAGGTGCGTCGTGTTCCTTATTAAGGTGGGTGGTTTATGTACTTAAGGTGCGTCAGTTATTCAAGGAGAACTTAAGGTGTGTATTTTGTTGAAGCTTTAGGTGCGTCTTTCCATAGCTTAAGGTGCGTCCTTTTAACACTTAAGGTGCGCATTTTAACATTTAAAGTGCGTCAGTTATACACTTAAGGTGCATAAGTTCTACGCTTAAGGTGCGTCATTTTTATACTTAATATGCATGATTTTAATACTTAAGGTGCATCTTTAGAGAAGAGGAGAGCGAATGTTCTCTTCGGCACAAGTCTAACATTGCACGTGACATGTGACGGGCTAGCGCCAATCAAATGACACGTGCTAGCCATGCGCCAGTTAGAAGCGCAAAAGGGTGGATAAACCTAATTATATATATATATATATATGGATGAGATCTGGTGCGAAGCATGTCCCAAGTGAAACATGTGGTAAGATCTGAACCGTTGATCAAATCTAGATCAACGGCGCAAATCAATGAAAATTAAAAAAAAAAAAAAAAAAAAAAAGTGCATCCTGAGAAGAAAGAAGCAAAGTGTAAAAATGACGCACCTTAAGTGTTACAAAGACGCACCTTAAGTGTTACAAAGACGCACATTAAGTGTTAGAATGACGCATCTTAAGTGTTAAAATGGCGCACCTTAAGTATTAAAATGCCGAACCTTTACTGTTAAAATGGCAGACCTTAACTGTTACAAAGACTCACCTTAGGTGGTAAAATCACGCACTTAATTGTTAAATTGACGTACCTTAAGTGGAGAACTTATGCACCTTAAGTGTATTGACGCACCTTATATGTTTAAATGGCGCACCTTAAGTACATGTTAAAAGGACGCACCTTAAGTTTTGAAAAGACGCATCTTAAGCTTTAGAATGACACACCATAAGTTCTCAAGTGTAGAACTGACGCACCTTAAGTGTTAAAATGCCACACCTTAAGTATTAAAACAATGCACCTTAAGTTCCAACAATATGCAAAGTGAACAAAATGCCACCGCGTTTTTTTAATCCGTGTTCATCTTGGACATCGATTTTGGCAAGAGCAATGGCTATCATTCACCCGCATGTTTCACATAAACACCTCATCAACATTTGATCTCTTATACACACACACACACACACACACACACATATTTCTTGGTGTACATAAATACTAATTAAACTGGACGTACATCATATGTATTTTGATTCGCTCTATAATATAGTAAGTTCAAAATGTTCATAAAAATAGAGTTTAATAATATATATAAACATTACATTATAGGCACATCTTGTTTAATACTCCTTCGTCCCATTTTATGTGTCTATTTCAGTTAACGAGGCTTGACCAAAGTTATTTTTAATTCAATTTTCATAATATTAAGTATTATTAATATACAAAATTTATATATTTAGAAACTACATGAAAAGTACTATTAAACACACAAATATAAATTTAAAAATAAGTTAAAAATAATAAAGAAAATAAACAAAGAAGAAAGAGTTGTTTTGACCAATAAATAGTAAGACAGATAAAATGGGACAGAGGGAGTAAGATTTATCTTATACATACTATGTTCAATTCGTAATAGTTGTTCTATATGATCATTAGTCTAGACCTTAATGTACATAAAACTAAACTACAAGTACATCACATCTATTTACATTCGCTTTGTAATAAGTTAATAATATTATATTCCTCCTATATATTCATAAAAACAATGTTTAATATACATAAAATTACATTACATGTGCATCATGTTTAATAACAATAATCCTTGCTATAGTATTATCATAATATTTGTTTTATATTCTTTTAAACCTAAATCTGCCTGTCATGCGTGTATATCATATCTATTTTCATTCACTTTATATTAAGTTGCGCTCATAATGTTCATAAACACAAAGTTTAATATAGGCTAAAGTGTCATCCCGCACCATAAACTATAACTGATTGTCCATGCCGCACCATAATCTTTCATAAGTGATATTTAGATCTATGAACTATTAAATTTTTTTCATCTATAATTTTTTACAGGTTTCGAGGTTACTATGATGACATGGCACAAGTTATTAGCTGATGTGGACATTCTTTTTAAATCAATCCCTGAAGTCAACCCCACAGTTCTTTGATCTGCAACCCTCAACGATTATCGCCCCGTTGCTTTCTTCGTCTTCCCCGGAAAACTGGCCAAGAAATATATTCTCTGTATATTTCTTTCTTGACAGACCCACTTTGGTTTTTACACTTTGGCTGCATTGACGTGCCCTCGGTGCGATTAATTCAGGCGAAGGATTTGATGTCGTACATTCAAGAAACGGAAACGGAGACGGTGAGGGAATTACTTCTGGGACGGTGAGGGATATATAATTTGTATAAGTAATATTATAAGGAGATATAATACTATAAGCACATCAAATGTGGTTACAATAGTTGGCCATTACATAAAGAGAGGAGGCAATAAGATTTTTGATCAAATCCAAGCTTGTTGCTTGGGATACCAGAACAGCTATAATCACTTCCAACATGGCAACATGCATTTACCAACTTTCTTTGATATGTATTTCGAGTAATGTTTTCATCATATATCATCGTGTCATCATCGTCAGCGATTCCATAGAAGAAGGGGTGGCTAAGAAGATCAGAAGCAAAGGGTCTAGTATTGGTATGGGCGAGGCATTTCTCAAAGGTGAAGTTTTTAACCGTGTTAGCATGACATA